ATATCAATATCTCAACAGATAAGCATACAAGCTATACCCACATTCCAACAGATATGCATATTAGCTATATCAACACTTCCAATGACAAGCATATGAGCTCTGTCAATACATCACTAGATAAGCATATGAGCTCTATCTACGGAGTCCATCCCCTATCTCCTCCCAAATGAAAAAGATGAGGGATTCATAAACTAATAATAATTAAATTAAGCAAAGCGATGAAACGAGCAATTATAAATAAAATTGGAATTTACTGATTTGGGAAAAACCTAGGGCAATGAGTTCACCACTAGCTACATAAATAAGGATTCAATTTGAAGTCAATTATGCTACGGTTCGAACTAAATAATACTTTGAAACTACAAGTTCGAAGCATTTATCAAGAAAATCATCACGTTTAATGTATAGGCACGAACTATCTCAAGTAGTACGAATCGTTCGCTCTAAACTAGGGTAGGAAAATGACTCATCCCTCGTTGTATGGCTCATCTCATACCTTGAATATGAAACAAAAGAAAATAATTGTATGGAAAGCATTCAACAATCACAGAAAGCCAAATACTCAAAGAAATAATGAAAAATATGTATTTGAAACTTCTACAATACCATTCAATTGTTCAAACCTTTATATAATCAAAAATCAAAAAGAAAACCTCATTACATAGATAGGGTTTCATCAAAACCCTAGAAAAGAAGAGCCTAGCCACTCATGGAGGAGTGGGAAGAGGTGGAAGACCCCATGGAAGTTGGATTGAAAGCTTGAGAATCCTTTCCTCCAAACCCTAGCCTCTCTCTCCTTTGAAAAATATCACCCTAATCTAGCCTCTTTCTTGCCTTTTTATATCTCTGCTGTCTTTCAAACAGGTTCAAAACATCGGGCCCATTTTCCGAGGTACAGCTGCACGTGCTTGAAAAGTCAACGCACGTGTGGGAAGCTCTTTTCTCTCCAAATTCTATATTTTTGTCCATTTTATGCTCCGACTATGTACAACTTGATTGACATTTAAACAAACATAAAATATATAGTTTGACAAGTAAGTAAAGTTAAAAGATCCTAATTAATAGCCTCAATGTTGCACAATTTGGCCTTAATCATCATTTGAAAATGTTATTTTTGGAACACATTTATTGTGTAATTTGAAATGGTGAATAAAGTAGTAAAACTTTAAGGGGGTGTTAAGCAGAATTAAGTTGGCCTGTGTGTCCATGGTGAAAGACCTAAAACCCGCATAGTAGGTGCTGATTCCATCCGTATAATCCCGATAAAATGGCATAGTGGCTTGTATAGCATATTATTATGAACACTAGCTTTGGAGATTTACCCATTTTATTTATTATCGCTTTGGTTTTGAAAAGGATGTTTTGAAAACGGTTTTAACAATGTATTTGCTGTTGTTTAGTGATGTATTTGCATTTGGTTTTAGCAATGTAACTGCTGGTTGGTTTTGTGGTCTACCGAACTTGTTTTGGAAATGGATTTTTATTCAAACAAATGTTTTGAACTCGAAAACATTTTGAATAAACAAATGGTTTTGATGATTGGAACAAAAGGATTTTTGTTGAGAAATCAAACGGTTTTTGGCAATGCATTGAGCATATTGTATATATGTACTACATCATAATCATTTATGCTAGTGGGACATATTTAGTTTTTAAAATATTATCTACTGAGCTTTATACTCACCCTACGTGGTTGAAAATATTTTTCAGGTATATGACATTTGTGGATGTGGACTCGAAGTTGTGTTTAGAGCCGGGTAGGGTGGTTCCATTATTTATAGGCCTTGGGCCATTTGTTCCTTTATTTGGTCATGTGTCATTCTTGTAAGGATTACACCCTTTGTAAATGACGTAAGCTTTTGGGCATTTTAATTTGAAATATATATATATATATATATCATCTATTGTACGTTTTAGTCAAAGAACATCCATTCTACGTAGATGTGAATGTAGAATGTATGAAATCGGAATAACACAAGTATTGTGTGACACTATTGTACCCATTTGCATGAGAGATATTATTTATTTCTATCTAATTGTCATCTTTTTACTTATCGACTTTAGATATTTTCACATGGGCTGACCTCTGTAAATCCGAAGTGTGACACATGTCACAATTTTGAATGTAAATAGTTACACTTACGGCTTTTGTTTTAAAAACAACCATTCTTTTAACTTTCTACTTCATTAATTTTTTACAATATATAATGAGATGATCTCTAATTATGCTACTTAATAGTATCAGTATACTCTAGTTGATTTTATTATAGAAGAGGTCGATGCCACTTTTATTTATTTATTTATTTTTATTTTAAAAATTAAAGAGATATTTAATTATGTTAAATTTGTAAGACTTATAATATTTTCTCCAAACTTCAATTTAGATTATCCTAAAATATGTTACAAGTTCTTAAAATAGAAGAATATACACACACACACACACAAAAAAAAAGGAAACAGAATTGTAGGTCTATCAGAAAATAAAAAATAAAGCACTTCTCATACTTCTTGGTGTTCTAAAACTTAATAAAGTGAACAACTTAATGGCTCTGTTTGTTTTGAGAGATAGAGTGAGATTGAGATTGAGATGAAGGTAAGATACATTATATATTGTGTTTGTTTTGGGAGATGGAGATGGGATTCATAATCCTATGAGATTAGGATAGGCCTTAGTGTTAGGATTGAGATGGAGGTAGAGATGATATTAGGAAATTAGTCCCATGGGATTAGGTTTTTTTATTTTTTTATTTACATGTTGGGCATTTTTTTTTAACATTAATGTTTAATGTTTTTGTATTTTTTGTTAAGTAATCATAATTTTATTTGTTTTAATATTTTATATTTCTTTTATAGAGTAATAATTTAACAATCTCGACATTAACAACTACCATCAAAATAAATATAATTTTACTTAATCTTCTCACCAACAATCCCCTCACTATCAATCCCCTCCATTTTATCTCTGAAAACAAACAGAGCCAATTGGTGTTCTAAAACTTCCTCTCTCTTTAAAAATATTTTCTACAAAAAAAATTCCAATTTTTTATTTTATTTTGTTTATAGAAAACGATTTCCTATATGTAGTTACATTTTTAAAACTAATAAATTAATAGTTACATTAGTGGTGGTGATAGTAGTAATGGCGGGATGGAGGTGGTGATAGAGGTAGAGGTGGAGGCGTTGGGGTAGTGGTGGTGGTGGTAGTATTAGTGATAGGGTGGAGGTAGTAGTGGTGGCCGTGGAAGTGTAGTGACAATGACGATGATGGTGATGGTGGTGGTGTTATGGTGGTGGTGATGGTGGTGACGGTGGTGGCAATGTGATGGCATTAGTAAAAGTTTAGTTCGAAAAATTTTATTTTCTGCCTAAGTAGGATTGTTTTCCGTTAACCATAGAAAATATTTTTCATTGATTATGAAAAATATTTTTCGTTGACTTTTTTTTTTCTTGTGCCAAATACAAAAAAATACGGAAAACATTTGTTGAAAAATGTTTTTTACCAAAACAAACTAAACGTAAAATAGAAAATTAGATAAACAAAAAGGAGTGAGACTCAAATGAAGAAAACTCTTAACACTTGCATGGGATACAATATATGGTGAATAATTTATTTTATTATTATTTATTTAAATTATACACGTATGCCAACCGCTAATATGTATAGAAAAATAACTCGTACAAGTTATATCAAACGATCCAAAACATACCTCAATAAAACATTAGAAGTTATGTCATGCTTATTCGAGGAAATTAGCTTTAGCAACGTTATGATAATTACCCACCCAAAAAAAAAAACGTTATGATAATTATGTTCATTCATAATTTCAAGTTGTTTGTCCATTATACCACTATAATATATTTTTGTAATTTTTTTTTTTACAAATTAAAATATCTCAATTAATTCTTTTACATAAAAGTCTTCAAAATTGTTTAAAAAAAATTAATAAAAAAACATAAATGAATTTTTGATATGTTTGATATAATAGAAATAAACCAAGGCCATCTTAAGCTTCCATGAGGCCTAAAGTAAAATTTTATTGTGAGACTTTTGATATTTTAAACTTAAATATAAATAATATTTATTATTTTTAGTAAATTATATCATATAAAATTCATGTCTCTTCGATTTTCATAACTAAAATTTGAGAGTTGTTTAAAATATTTAGCTATGAAAAAAGAAGAAATTAAAAATGTCAAAATTTATCAAATAAATAAAACTTATTAATTCAAAGTGAAAATTAAAAAAGTTTATAGAACCTATTTCAAATTGGTGGGGATTATTTTAAAGAGAGTTTTTTTTTTTTAAATATATATTACACTACAACATATAAGACTTTTGGCGACCAATTATTTTGGTCCCTAAAACTATTATTTTAGTCTCTAAATAATTTTTGTGACAAAATTAATTTCGTCACTAAAACAGTCACTAAAAGTGCGTCTAGAAAAGTCTTTAGCGACCAATTTTTGAAAATGTCCCCAAAAATAACAATTAGCGACCAATTTTATATTGTCACAAAATGTTTAATTTTACAAGACTAAACATTTGGTCGCTAATACTTCGTCATAAAATGTCCCAATTTGGTCGCAAAAAACAAAATAATGACACTTTTAACGACTATGATATTTGGTCGCTAAAAGACATATAACTTTCTCTATAACACATTTTCGTCGCTAAAAATCAAAGTTAAATTTTGTAATCATTTAATCTCATAGCTAAAATGCACAAAATTAAATGTCATCCAATCGTATTTAAAAAAAAAAAATGACATCCACATATCAAACCCACTCTATTCCCAAACCATAATGAGTATATAGAAAGTAAATTTGACAAAAATTAAAACTGAAAGTTTCCAAATTCAAATCAAAGTAGTAACAGTTCAAATGAAGAATAGCAACAATAGTTTCTTCAAAGAAAATATCTAAAAAAACATTTTCTCAACATCAATATCAGGCTTTATATCAGACTGGCTTGGCACAAGAGGCTTCAAGCTGTATAGGCGTGACACCCTTTGGACATCCCTGCAACCCAAAATTCAAAAAGAAGAATCAAATAATAAGAATCAACACAACATAACCTCATTAAATAATCAATAGTCATTCATAATCAAACAAGTTACAAATAATGAAAAAACACGTTATCTCAGTGTACTTGAAGTATTAGTGAGCTATAATAAGAATCAACACAATAAGGCTATCATAATCTAAGCACGTTATCATAATCAAATGTTCTAAATAACAAACACACTAAATTTATAACAATGACAGATCTATCTAGAGCAAAAGGTACTTACTATGTTGGTAAATCAAAAGTAAAACCTCCCCGACTAATCTGTTGCAGCACCAAATCAATCTTGGCATTGACCCCCATGCTATTAGACTCCAAGTTGTGCACTCTTGCATTCAGTTCCTTATTGATTCTCCGTTGCTCTTCAAGCTCCCTTCTAGTTTCCTCATTTTCTATCTCAAGAGCAGCACGAGTACGTCGACCAGATGCTGTTGTACTAGGTTTAGGACCACGTCCTAAACCACTTATGTAGCTAGACTTACGGCCAAACACCTCAATGGAAAGCTGCTCATCAGATAGCGGGCCAGATCCATCTTCTATATCTTCATTCTCCCGCTCTTTAAGTTTTTTCTACAATTGTTCATGAAATTAAATATAGTCATTTTATATATACATTGTAACAGAGCAACTGAACACATTGATTTTCCTATTTACTTATCCTAGAGAGAACATAATAGCTGGTAGAGAAAGCACCATAATCTAGTAGCAGGTCTAATATTCTAACTGAATTTTCTAACTTCAAAGTAGCATTTCCCAAAAGCTGAATTTTCTAACTTGAATTTTCTAACTTTAAAGTATTAACAGGTCTAATATTCGCTTCAAACATGTGTTTTCAGTTGATCTAGTCCTAATATTAGAAAATGATTAGGACTAGGTCTGATAGCAGGTGTATATATTTTGAAGCCCCCTTTGGTATCCCTGAGGTCAGTCACCACCGCTAAAAGGCTCCAAGTCCAATCTAGTTGAACATAAAGAGTGAAACATTTTCATGGAGAGCAGCAACATTAAGCCACCCAAATCCCAAAAAACAATCAACTGAACACATTGATTTTCCTATTTACTCATCCCAGAATTTTCCTCCCTCAACTAATTGGGCTACCTTGGTTGGTTAAATTCATTAAAACCCAGAAAGCATCACTCTGCTTTTTTCGGATCATGCTGAATGATCAGATTAATTACTAGGGACAAATAAACTAACCCATTGATAGAATTGCATTGAAATCTGGCTAATAACACATTAAACAGGAAATATAAGCAATCATGTTTTGAGATTTTTGTGGCATAATCGACGGCCATAATACATATATAATAAGGTAATATATAATTACCCACATTTATGAAACAGAGTTATCCTCTTATGTCACATTATATCTATTTAACGACAACACGCTTATATATCAAATAATAAAATATAATAAAACATACCATCATAATATTATTGTTTTATGAATCTGATTGAGACAATTGAGACCAAAAAAAGTCAACATCAATTGTTTTGTGAATCTTACTCTAATTTTCTAATATTCGCTTGATCTAGTCCTAATCAGTTACATTCATAATCATTTACATTGTTCGTTCTTAGTGCTAAAGATTCACAACACATGAGCCTTAGACAAGTAATCATTAACAGGAAAATAATTATATTTAACATTAGAAAATTCTTACATGTCTAATTTCAGCTTCATTATGGACCCATGCTTGCCTTTTCTGACTAAAGTGTGTCTTGTGATACAAATCAACAAGTCCAAGCTCCTTTCCATCCATGTCTCGCTGTCAAAACCTTTATAGTTAGTATCCTATGGAGTACATACATCACCATGGAGACCCTATGATTTAAAGGTCAGTTGTTTACCTCATCGTATTGCACCTTTCTAAATGCTTTGAGCCAGCTGTATGGAGGACTTTAAGCTCAAACCGATTTTCCTTGTTTTTCTAACATTTCTCCTGCATGAATTGTAAAAATATATTCAAAAGAAATCAAGTCCATGTGCCCAAATGCTTAGTAACAGCAGCAGCTACATGCATAGCAGCAGCCTCCGCCATAGCAACAGCTGTAGCATCATCAGCAGCCCAAGTACAAAATGTGCAAGAATGTCTTAGTATTGCAATCATCAATGAAACTGTTGATTTCCTGTTTCCTGGTTTATCTATGGTCATTTGTTATGCTCATTATAGATCAGCTGCCAGCAAGCATTTAGTTCAATGTTCTTACCATATTTAACTATGGTTTCTCTCGACTGGTGTGTTTTACTCTGCCTTTTCTATACTAAACCAAGAACATTAGGTTTTTGATGTTAAATCATGGATAGCGAACCAATAAAGTCTTTAGTATATAGAAAGGTATCATTTAAGTACTGGTGGCTTTCCTTCAAAACTTGTTCAAGCTTGATTTGCTTACATAATGAGCCGATCTTATCTCAAGCTTGGTTCGTTTTTCAATGTTTCTAACTAAATCATATAATCCATATTTCTTATCCAACTGACATGTATGAAAATTTTATCTCAATGCTTGATAGTTTCTACAACATGGTATTTTTGTAAGGTGTTTTTTTTCTCCTGTCATGGAATTGCATTCATTTTGAGTAGTGATGTTATTGCAATGATTAATTTAAAATATATTTACCAAAAATAGAATATGCAATTAATAAAAGATGCTTGATTCTACAAGTACAATCTTGCACATTTTGTTCCATCATATGTTGAGTAACCATGTTTTTAACCTCATTTGTTTCTAAACAAAATCATGTTTGCCGTCCAACCAGGGGTAGAAATATGTAGGATGTGCTGTTATTTAATTTACCTGGTACGTCTTATCATCCCATAATTGACACAGGTATCACCACACCTCTTTTCGATATCTTCATGTGGGTTTGCAAGGGCTGATTCCATCGTAGGGAAACTTCTAAAATGTTGGCGTAGATTAAAGCGATAGGTCTTGTACCGGAGTTTCATCATTCCAAAGATAGAAGCAATAGCATAAGGTTCATTACTAAAAATGAAACCTTCCTCCCATACCAATAAAATTAAACACTTCAAAACATTAAGCAACATAATTCATAAACTAAAAGGGAATATTAAACTAGACTAAAAAAAAACCATCTTACTCGAAGGTATGCAATTAGCGTTTCTTTATCCTCAGGGCTAATAAAACTCCACTTAGGCACATTTTGTGGGGCAAATTGCCTAGTGACGATCCCCAACTCGGTGGTGAATTTATCAGACCACGGTCCCAATGGATTCCCAGTAATCCTACAAATTTCAACATCCAATCGCTTCCCTTGACTTTTTATCTTGAGTAATGCGAGGCTTCGTGACTTCCCACATCCTTTCTTACGCTCTGTTGTATCTATTAAAAACAACATATAGAAAAAAAACACATCAATGTCTAACATATGCATTGGATGAAAAGAATAAACAACCAACCAAAAAAGAATATAAAACTAAAATATTTACAAACCTACCAGCAATACAACAATCCGTGCTAGAAGTATCCAAGTATGAGGCTTGTGATGTAACTTCATGCATAGATGCTGATGCTGATATAGCTGCAGATGTTGATGCAGATGTTGTTGGGGGCACAAACTTTGACATAAATGAAGGAATTGACTGAGTAGATGTGGATGCAAAAGATGTAGCTGCTAATTTGTTGGGCACATAGCCTCTTTGTCCTCTACCTCTAAAAATCAATAACAAGAACAATAAAATGGATTCAGCTGTCTTACATAGAAATGTCTAGTGTATCTATATGATGATCTTAGTAGGTTTAGTAATATAAAATGGTTTCGGCTGTCTTACATGGAAATGAAGTTTCTGAACAAATTTTACAGCCTTCTACTTAGAAGAAAAAGATAAACTCTACATTTTCATGCTCTATTTTCCAATTCTATTGCTAACTTCCAAAACTTTGGACTGAATCTCCTATATCTTTATCATAACACTTGAACCGGTGCTTTATCCTTGTGATCAGCTTTAACTATAATTGAGTAAGATTACAGCTATCACATGTGGGTCCACTTTCATTGTAAGTAAGTGATAAAAATATTATAAAAAAAAATGTGGCTGTAACAAGGCTCTTCAAATTTATTTTGAATGTAATGTGAGTTGCATTTAGAATAAATTTAATTTATACATTTTTAAATTATGAATACTTTTTAAATGAAAATTCGGAATACATAACATTACTTTACTATATCAAATTCCAAATGAGATATAGAGGCCAGGTCTGTGCAGGAAATTAGTGTTACAAAGCCACTTCAACTCCAAGTAATTAGTCTAATCTAATTGTATCTAGCTTTAACTAGCTCTACTTTCACCTTCACCAATGTTGGTGTCAGATGAACTAACCAATCAGCACCAAGAAGGTATTCAGTTCAAAAAATAAAACAAAAAAAAAACCCAACAATTTGAAAGTCGTGTTTATTTAGTTTCATAGGTGGGATCGGATTAGAAACCAGTTAACTCCATATAAATCACAATTGGTTGGAAAAAATAATGGGGGGACTAAGAGTCGTATGGGATTGTTAAGGCCCACTTTTAAAAACCAAATTATAAAATGGTTTCAGCTATCTTTTTTTTTTTCTACCATACCTTTCTTGGCGAAGTTTTTCTGCCATAGGATCCAGTGCCACTTCCTTCACTACTTCAAGAATTTTTCCCTTCTGTACACTCGCTTTTGCATTTGTCTTCTTGAGGACCTTTTCTGCAGTAGCTGCAGGTGCAAGTGCAAGTGCCTGAACATATCACATGAAAAACAACAAAAGCCAAGTGAGAATAATAAATAACAAAACAGCAACAAATGATACATACAATGCCATTACAATTCATATGAATTCTGAAATGCAGAAAACAACAGATCCATTTATTTTCTTAGGTCATCAACTGTTGTTGGCTACAAGTACGTCTTTCAATTGGCCTTTAACTATTCACATTTCACATATTTAACAAAATGAACATTTCAGCAATGCATAACACCTTCTTACTAAAGATTCAACCATCGAACATTGAAATTAAGAAAAGAAGACAAAAAATGAAGAAATTGCAAAACAGTCTAAATATGACACCAGTGAAGAAATTGCAGCAATTACTAAAGATTCCTTAGTAATAGATAATAAGGAATGATGCTTATTGATAGTACCTTTGCAGCAACAGATTCCGTTGCACGCTTCCTCCATAGATCAGCTTTCCAAGTTTCGAATTCCTCTCTACTCATGATGGGGGGGTCCAGGATTGATACCCATCCTAAAATCCGCAAGATCCCTAAAATCCGCAAGAAAATTAGTCAGATTGTTTTGAAAAAGGATAACATTTCATTAAAGGCTGAATAGATGATAAAAAAAAATGTAAAGCCCATTTCATTGCTGATAGTCAAATGATCATACATCATAACAATTATTGAACCATAAACGCATCAAATGATTCATAAACACAGAACTTGGTTAAAGACTCTTCCAATACAACTAAAAACTTAAAGGACAAATATGATACTAAAAACAAACAACAAAACAAAGCATACATCCTCAAAATAAGGTAGTTAGAAACAGAAGCACACAGTATCTTTTCTCACGCTTTTCCATCTTAAAGGACAAATAAGACAAAATATTCATCGATAGATATAATCTTCATCAATTTCATCTTCCAGATCACTATCATCATCAATCATATCATCATCAACTTGATCATCCATGTTAGTGTCATCATCATCCACATTATTATCATTAATGAGCACTTTATCATCAACTTCAAGTTCCTCCTCGTGAAATTCGCTAGTAATATCAACACATATCATTTCCATGTCTTCTTTGCATAATTCTATGGGTTGATCATCAATGTGCACCACATCCCCAAGTCCATACGACTCAAATTGTTGGTATGGTTCATCTTTGTCTTTGTCTTCCTCTTCCGCTTCCTCTTCATCCTCTTTCACTAAGATGTCATAAATAGCCCGTGGTAATACTCTTTGTACAACTCGATAATTATTGCCCCACTTCGTATCTTTCAAATAAAACACTTGTTCCGCTTGGCATGCTAACACAAATGGTTCAGCTTTGTACCAAGTCTTCGTAACATTTACACTAATGTAGTTAAACTCATCAACTTTTATTCCAATTTTTTCGTTACCAACATCCCACCAATCACACTTAAAAAGAAACACACTATTCCCACCTAGATATTTCAACTCAATTATCTCTCTAATAACACCATAAAAATCAATAGGTTTCCCTTTATGATCTCCCCTCACAACCATGCCACTATTTTGAGTTTTTCGGTACATGCCACAATCTTGAGTGCGAAACCGAATCCCGTTGATGATACAACCATTGTAGCGTGTCACTCGGTAATTGGGACCTCGAGCTAAGTTCATAAGTTGATTGGAAGCATCCATTGTCCCTTCAACTTGCAGCTTTGTGACCTAATTCCATTGTTAATATGAAATGCGTTAGCATACACTTAAATTCATTATTTCAATACACAAATAATGTTCAAAAATTATAACTCTTACGTATTTTAGAAACCATGTATGGAACTCTGATTCTAGCCTCTCTTGCATATTTGTCAAACCTTGTCTTTCAAGTTCATCCATGTATTGCCTATAAATTATAACAACATTATTCGACACAAATGGTTGTGAAAATAATATAATTCAAAAAGTAAAATATTCCAGTGAATATAATCATATGGTAGTTTATGTAACGCCCTCAAAATAAACCCATTATATATATCATTGACATGCATTATTTAATGAAAACATTTTATTAAATCGTTCATCAGAGTATTACTAAATAAAAGCATCTCATGTAACATCGAATAAAATGCCCTACAGGCTTACATCTTTCCAAGTCAACACTTGGATACAAAAATACGAGTTCTAACTCAATACAAGAAAAGCCCTAAGCTTGAATGTTTACATGTATTAATAAATAAAGACAATTAACTAAAGATAGTCTTCTTCAAAATCCAGAAGCCAAACCCTCCCAAGCTAAGTCCTTGGAGGTAGCTTATCACCTGAACCTGAAAATGATATTCCCATAAAGGGTGAGCCACAGCCCAGTAGAAATATACTAAACCAAATATAAGCATTGAATAAAGCAATAGCATTCAATAGATGGTTAACCAAGATAATCAATTACATCATTATACAGTTTCATGACACTAATGTCTAAGACATGTTTTACTTTCCAACATTATCAATATGGCTCAGAACATCCCCTATCTCCTCCAACACAACACAATGCATATAAACAATAATTACACACATCATCACACAATACATAAATTTAATGTATTCTTTCAACCGTCATACTCAATGACGCATTCCAGTGATTAGTTTCAGTTAGCCTAATCAACATGCATTGTCTACAACAATCACGACTATCCTCCACCGATAGCCCAAAACAGTTATTTCTAAACTGAAAATAACTATGTCAACAATTCAATAAACAAATGATTCAAATTATCCAACCATCACGCCATTTTAATCAATTGAATTCCCCAATTCCATGAATTTAACCATCTTTTCCCGATTCCATGAATTAATATTACAAATTAATTTAATAGTAACAACTAGGGTTTTTCCCAAAGATTTACCAAAGTATCCCCAACATATCAAAATACCAAAGCTTAGAACAAAACCTATAAAATGGAGTAGGAAATCCCTACCTCGAAGATATAACCCCAAAAGAGAAGATGGAGATGAATGCCCAAACTCCAAAGTGCTCCAAACTACCAACATTCAGATTAAATGGAAGCCTCGACCCACTCTATCTTTTTAATGAAGGATCTAGGGTAGAAACACACCCTAAGTGGATCAAATCTAAGAGAGAAGGTTAGTAGGGAGAGAGAGAAGTCGAAACCTAGGG